ATAATACTGAGTGTTTCAACATTTAAACTGACTCAGTCGGTGGTTTCCTCACTTTTAATAGGACACAATTTTAAAATTACACGCTGATGGAAAAAATTCATCCCGTACGTCTGAAAAAGGAAAAAGGAGAATATATATATATATATATATATATATAAGGAAAGAATGATTTTGCAACTTTACGAAATTAAAATAATATATGATTTCATTGAAAAAAATGATAGGAGTCGCCTTATAGCGCACCTGCCTTAATTTTACCGTTCTACATCCCTGTCGTGTGTGTGTTTCCTGCAGCTCACCCTCGGCACGCACGTTGCCGCAATTTATATATCAGAGCAAAAATTATAGCAGTCAGGACCGGCACAAGCGTGAAAGGAAACTAGTTACAGCCTTTAGTTTTACCGGATGAGGCGCGGATGTTTTTGTTGTCGTTATATCGTGCTCATCGTCGGGGTAAAGGGACTTAGGGCACACCTCCTCGTATGGTGCACACTTGATCGCACCAGACCTAAATACCGTACTGTAACTCGAAAGTACTAGGGTACTTCCGGGTGGGCAGTCAACGAATTTACTGGTACCCTTCACGCGCACCCGGTACCTCGAGGTGTCCTTGTCGCACAAGACATCCGCGCAAATAGAGAGCATATTTTGGTTATCGCTTATCTGGAGGGTAGTGCTCGGGATAGCTGAAAAACATCGCGATGATTCGGAAAACACAGAACCAGGAAGTTTTCTCGCATTTCCATTTAAGCACATTGTGTCAGAATATCGATTTATAAACGGACAGTAATCCATCATGGCATCTATCCCACCCATTGTCGGATTGGGGAAGTACTGGAAATATCTTGGCAAGGTAGAATGATATGCTATCGCACAGTTTCCGATAGCCATCCGGTCAGATGTGCACTTGTACTCACTGTTTGAATTCATTTTACGTTCGCAAAACATCTCCGGCACCTGCGACACACCGTTAATAACGCACTTCTTGTCAAACAGCACGCAGCCGGCATTCTTACCCCATGCCATGCTTTCAGCATTGCGGTAGTTGCCCTTGTAGTAGCCCGTGTCCTCCATCGCTGCAATGGTGATGGCGGTGTAGAAACTTGCAGAATCGGTAGGAGACATCAAGTCATCCTTTGCGTTGCGCATATTCCAGTGTGAGCTTACAGAGCCAGTACCACCCTTATCATCTAACTCCGCATTCAGCATGGTGCTGCACCTGTAATGAGCCCTCGCAACTTCCAACACTTTGGGCGATACCAGAACAAGGCTTGGTGGCTTACCGCGAACAGACACAGTATCAACCATCCTTCTATTCTTAAATGTCATAAATGTAAATCCCAACGCGTGCAGTATCTCGTGAGCCAAGATACGTGTAGTATAAAGAATTTCCAAAATGTTTACAGACCCAATATTGGCAGCACCCACGATGGGGCGGTTGCTGCGGTGAATTTGACAAACGACTGCCCACGCGATAGTATCAAGTTCAGTTGGTCCCGCCGCTACGTACAGTGAAAAGTCGGTTTTCGGCACACCGGTGGTGTGGTGGGACTGGGGAATCGTAAACTGAGAGCAGGTATCCCTAGTGAAGTGATTAACACGGATGTTGTCTCTCAGCGGTTGCACCAGCAGGCGTTCCCTGTGCATCTGCACCGCGTTGGGGATTATCTGCTTACGAAGCAGTTGCTTCTTTTCATCGGTGAGAATGTTATCGGAATTACATTGAATCATGGAGCCTCTGAAGTTAGGCTTCATCTCCCCGGGCTGTGTGCAGTAGCGGGAGCTGTCGTCGAGGTCCTTGGTGAACACCGAGAAGCGGATCGGCTTCCATGGGTCAGGGGCTGTGGAGCTGCCGTGCTGCTCCGCACCCTGCCCCTGCGGCGTCCCGCGGTCCCTCACCTTGGGGACGGCACTGGTGCCGGTCGCCAGCTGCAGGCGTTGCATCTCGTCGAAGATGCAACGGTGCCCCACAGCGATCAGCGGGGTGACGACAAGTAGCG